AAAACTCTAACACGCGCTGTGGGGGAGAGCTCTTCTGCATTCTCAGTACGTGACCAAGGAACTCCCAACGCCGTTGGTCAATCTCGAGCGAAATTGGTGCTGAGCCGCAGATGTCGTACAGATGCTTGTTGGTAATTGTGTTCGGGAACTTAACGCCAGCCATTGTTCTCAGATGCCTTCGATGAAAGGTGTCAATCCCTCTGGTGATGGCATCTGTGAGACCCCATGTTGCACAGTTGTACAACAGCACTGGCTTCACATAGGTATTGTACAGCGCAACTCTAAGCAGTAGTGAGGTAGATTGATGCTTGAAGAGTGCGTACAACGAACAGAATGCCTGGGTTGCTAGGGCCTTTCTGGCTTGGACATCTTGCGCTGAGCCTAGCCGTGATCCCAGCGACTTCGCATTTCTCCATGCTTCGGAACCACACTCCTCCAGGTCATCAGCCAGGTATATCTTTGTTCGTTCAGTTTTGGAGGTGTTTACGGTGAGGTTATGGCTTGGGAGGGTCTCTGCACATTGATCATGAACGTCCACTAGCTCTTGCTCATCAGTTCCAATGAAGTCTAGATCATCCGCATACTGCAGTTCAGGTGGTAGGATGTCGTCAGGAGGGGAGTCAGATCTGATACCTCGCAGTGCACTCTCAAAGTAGCATGTAAACAGAATCGGACTAAGACTGTCACCCTGTGGTGTGCCAACGTTCGACCTAAAAGCTGTTTTTCCCTGCACACGTACCTGAAGGGTGGTATCTGACAGCAGAGTGTGGACTAAGGGTAGCACATCCGGCGTGGTAGGAGCAACGCTGACAATCGTGCTAAGGAGATCTGAGCGGTGTGGCGTGTCGAAGGCCTTCCAGTATGCAGAACAATAAAGCGCTTGCCTTTACCTGATGGTGCTTCATTTGGTTGCTTGCCTATACACTCCTGTCACCATTGTCGTACCACCTCCTAGTAACTGTGTGACGCGCATTGACCCACGTGTCATCCAGGTATGTCTCACAGGTAGCGATGCCGCCATAACACAATCCCGTGCCGTTCCATCATCATGTGTGTGATACCTCTGGTCTTGCCACACTGGAATCCCATGGAACGCAACATTTTCCAAGAGCTAGTTTTGCTCATGTCTGGAAAATCGTGGATGCTTTCTATGCAGCGAGCAGGAACTGTGTCCAGTATTGGGTGCTCCTTCGCAGCATAGAATCCGTAAATTACTTCTTATACAGTCCAAAGCAAATCCGTCAGGGTTGAGTGGTTTTATGGCACGAGTCTCACATTGGGGATTGTCACTCTCGTTACCTTCATCACTGGAGACAGACAAGGCCAACGCAGCACGCTGATTTTCGCCGTCAGCATCCCTGGTACATCTGTTCATGGTGGAAATGCTGACGCCACATGCAACAGCAGCATGACGAATGGAATACTTGGGACCAATTCGATGCCCAGCCACTGTTCTCCTCGTCTTCGCAAAAATTGTAAAACAGACACCACCATGTAGATTCTACCATGGCCCGTTCGCGCTTTGTTATATGTGGCATGTCGAGAGAACAAGTTGCCACGAACGAAAAGACACTCGAGAAAAAGCAAAATAGGGCCACAGAGTAGTCAGCAACAAAATGATTCCTCCGGCCACGAGGAGCTCGAAGGACACTCTGAACAAAATGGCGAAATGCCACGAGTCACACCTGGTTTTCGAATTTCGCGCGCAGATTTTCGTGACGCAACTCGCATGACATTTTCTGAAAAGTGGCCTTGAGTACATTCTCAAGAATTTCAGAGTCTATTATAAAAAACGCACTGTTAGAGTTTGGACACCGCTATCTATAGGAAGCCAACTTTCACCGGCCTCTACATTCCGTTGGGGAGCTATACTCCAACGAAATCGAAGAGACATCTTGTGAAAGCGCTAGTTTATCGTGCGCATAGAATATGTTCCCCTCATCTATTGCAGGACGAATTAGACAGACTGACATCAATATTTACGAACAACGGCTATCCAAAGGAATTTCTGGCCAAGCTAATCAACGAAAAACCGGTGACAGACAAGCCTATCCAATTTGGACCTGACCCTTGCCCAGTGGTGCTCCGTTTACCCTGGGTTGGCGCCGGTTCTTCACGCGTGGAGAAGGATGCTCGTGGTATCGTATTTCCATCTTATCCGTGCATCAAGCTGTACGTCATATTTGGGACAGTGCGTGCGTTCAGTGTGAAGAAGGACGTTCTACCTACCCTTAGTAAAAGTAACCTTATCTATTTCTTTCAATGCCGACAATGTGAAGATCGGTATGTAGGTAGAACCCTTCAGCACCTGGGCGCGCGCATTCGTCAACATGTGCCGTTAAGTTGTGTTCCGCTTGATGCTCGTGAGTGTCGTCCTCGCCGTGGTCGTTCTCCAAAATGTGCTGTCCAGTCCATCGGTGGATCCTCCTCTTCCTGTGAAGATGTGACTGCATGCCCGTCCTCCTCCGCGTGTGTAGGGCAGGGTCCAGCTGAGAACAGCGTGAAAGATGGTGAAAGACCGACACGTAAACCACCGAAATTGACAAAGGATCTGTCCGCGTCGGGAAGGGTTACGCAGAGCCAAGTAAAAAAAGGACTGGTGAGGACGCACGTACAACAACAACGGAAGTGACAACAACAGTCAATATTCGAAAACGTGGTAGACCGCGAAAACAAACCTCAATATCGGACACCGGACAAGTTGGAGTAAGAAGCTCAATAGAAATCCGCAATGGAGGAGACGTAGCTGAAAGGACACTGGGCATCGCCCACACAACGGCTAGTGTCAGAAAACGTGGAAGGCCGCGGAAAAGCAAAGAGACGGATAGTGGTGATGCCGCGAAGAGGCGAGATGACGGGACATTGGAGGAGACAACACCCAACGGAGCTAAGATACGCACTTCGTCAGTCAAGCAACATCTGTCAGCCCGTACCAATTGTCGTGAGTTGTACAGTGATAATGTGTTCTCAATATTGTCACGTGGTAGATGTGCGTTGCATCTGGCTGTGTTAGAAGCTTTGTATATCCGTAAGTTAGATCCTGAACTTTGCGTACAGAAAGAAAATGTGTTGTCGCTACAATTGTTTGGTGTTACTCCTCGTCGAGGTGTTAACAATGTAACTTAATTTGCTCACTATGTTCTTGTCACTATTATTATTTCCTTCGAGTTTTGTGTCGTGCTGAACTTGATAATTCTCCACCTTGTCACGAGTGTTGTTATCTCATATCTGTACGCTATATAAGTTTTAGTCTTTCCAACTTGAGCCATTCCCTGTAAAATCCTTGATGAGAAGGGACCGAAAACGTTCGGATAATTTGACAAGTGCCTTATTTTGACTGGATGTGTGTTTGCGTGGATACTTACGACCCAACACGTACCTTCGTTATTAAAATAATATTATTATTATTATTATTTGAAAGTAGGACGGAGGCAGAAAATATTACAAAAAATGTATTATCTACGCATGCATCTACGCAAGAGTCGCCACCAGCCAATTAGGACATGTGTCTCAAAGTATTGAACGTTTTCGTTCCCTTCTTGTCAAAATACTACAGGGAATGATGGAAATAAGCTAAAAGACTACAACTATAAGGAAAAGAAGTTCAGAAATATATCACTCCAATTATGTGTAGAAGTGACACGAAAAAATAGATGTGAAGAATCACGAAAACAGCATGCAAATCCAATAAGTGACAAAAACGTAGTGACAAGAAAAAGAGAGAAATATCAAGAGATCAAGGGATCAATTTCGCACCTTGACGACGAACAGTGCCAAACAACTGCAAAGACAACACATTCTCCTTCTGAACACAAAGCTCAGGGTCTAACTTACGTATGTACAAAGCTTCCAACATGGCAAGATGTAACAAAGACCTACCACGCGACAAAACAGAGAATACATCATCGGAATACCACTCACGACAACTAGCACTGCCCGACAGGTGACACTTGATTGCCGAGGTACCGTTTCCCTGACCCGACGACTTGGCCGTTGTCACCTCCGATATTGCTGTAGTATTTTGACAAGAAGGGAACGAAAACGTTCAATACTTTGACACATGTCCTAATTGGCTGGTGGTGACTCTTGCGTAGATGCATGCGTAGACAATACTTTTTTTGTAATATTTTCTGCCTCCGTCCTACTTTCAAATTATTATTATTATTATACGCTCTACTTCGGAGTATCTGGGTGTATTGACTGAGTGGCAAGAAAGTAGATTAGTAGTAGTAGTAGTGGTGAAGTAGAAAAATTAGAATTTACTATTTTACTAGGAACTCCCAACAGGCGCTGCCTTTATCCTGGGAACCCTAACTGGTTGGCAGTAGACGAACCCCAATTCTATTACCATGCTGTTGAGTGACTTCACTGATTTCGGTGATCAATTTTGAATTTTGGTATTGTTGCCTGCAGGACTCAATAGGTATCCCCGCCACCGTCATGCTCGCTGATAGAATGGTGGACTTCTTTGATAGATACGGTGGCGATGTACAGAATTTGCACAGACTCAACAGGGAAATGCCTCACATCCCATATTACCTGTAGCCTGGTCCGACAAGTTGCAACGTGTCATCAAAGTCTCCTTGGTAACCTGGTTCCATTACGAAGATGTCAATGGCGGGCAACTCTACCTCCACTTTAAACCAGAACGGATAGTTTAGTGCTGTGGTGCATCTGCCTGTCAAGCATGAGACCGCAGAACGTCGCTAGTAGCCTGATAGCTCGTGTTTGACATTAGCAATCCCAACAATTGCGTTCGAAGAACGTTTTTGCGCCCCCCCTCCCCCCCCCACGCCACGCCCCGCCCCAAATAAATTACTCGTTTCCACTCGCTGCTTAGTTTCCTTAGCTGCTCAATACCATGCATTTATCATTCTAATACTGCAGAGGACGCATGCATCTCATAAAGACTAGGAGCCATGTGCGCTTTGTGGACACGTCCATTCACAAAATCTCGACAGTGTGCAGAGTGTGTACCTGCAGAGGCACCCGTGAAATACTAAAGGCTTGCAAATACATATCAATGTAATAGCTACATATACTTTGCAATATGTGCGCGCGCCCCGTGTCTGCATGTGTGTATGTGTTTGTGTGCGTGTGTGTGTGTGTGCGTGCGTGTGTGTGTGAGGGGGGGGGGCAAATGTGTGTATGTGTGTGTGTGCGTGCATGTGTATGGTGTGTGTGCTTCTGTGTGTGCTTCCGTGTGCACATGTGCGTGCGTTTGTGTGTGTGCGTGTGTGTGTGTGTATATGTGTGTGGGCATATGTGTGTGTGTATGTGTGTGTGGGTGGGGGGGGGGGGTGAGTGTGTGTGTGTGTGTGTGTGTGTGTGTGTGTGTGTGTGTGTGTGTGTGTGTGTGTGTGTGTGTGTGGATGAGTGTGTGTGTTGTGTGTGTGTGTGTGTGTGTGTGTGTGTGTGTGTGTGTGTGTGTGTGTGTGTGTGTGTGTGTGTGTGTGTGTGTGTGTGTGTGTGTGTGTGTGTGTGTGTGTGTGTGTGCTTGTGCTGTGGATGCACATCCAGTGCATTTGCAGATTTGCGTGCTTCTCTTGCGACGGGCGTATACATGGTACATGGTACATGGTGTGTGCGTGCGTACGTGTGTGTGTGTGTATGTGTGTGTGTGTTTGTGTGTGTGCGTGTGTGTGTGTGTGTGTGTGTGTGTGTGTGTGTGTGTGTGTGTGTGTGTGTGTGTGTGCGTGCATACGTGCATGGGTGATAGTATTTGTGGTACTATGACAAGTGGTGTACACATGTACATTGCATATTCCCACAATTCCTGATTTCATGTAACCCTCCTTTCTTTGTTTTGCCTACGCAATTTTCTACGCTACAACCATGTGATGAAGTGAAGAAAATAGAATATCAATAAACATTTGAAACTCGGATGTTGAGCCATAAATAAATGTAAAAGAGAAAAGGACATATGGATACGAGTTTAGAGTAACTCTCCATCACTGTAACATGATACTATATACAGTCAGAAAGTGCAATAACTAGGCACAAAACTGACAGAGTACTGAGACATTCGACGTCCTGACACCTAACTTTAACACATCTCCGTAGCGCTAACCGACAGCCTTCCAACTTGGAAGGTTCAAGGTTATGGAAAGACCAAAGAGGGGAAGGCAAGCGCAACGAAAACGAGCAAAAGCTACAGTCCCAACGGAACAAAGAATGTCGATTGTTACTGGACGATGACGAGACCAGTACGATATTTGACAAAGCGGTCTAACTACAATTCGAAGCAGCAAAGCAGCACACCACCCAACTTGGGTGGGTCATAAATATCAAAGATAAGTAAAGAAAGGGAAGCTTTGCGAAAACGAATTGTACAAGCCGAAAGCCAAACTCCTACAGTACTCCTCATGCATGACATTGTGATGGACTAGTTGACTACAAAACAAGTTGTTTCACACGACGTACGTTTCGCCGTATGGTTCGTGACGGCTCATCAGGTGTGCAATTTGAAACTCGGATGTTGAGCCATAAATAAATGTAAAAGAGAAAAGGACATATGGATACGAGTTTAGAGTAACTCTCCATCACTGTAACATGATACTATATACAGTCAGAAAGTGCAATAACTAGGCACAAAACTGACAGAGTACTGAGACATTCGACGTCCTGACACCTAACTTTAACACATCTCCGTAGCGCTAACCGACAGCCTTCCAACTTGGAAGGTTCAAGGTTATGGAAAGACCAAAGAGGGGAAGGCAAGCGCAACGAAAACGAGCAAAAGCTACAGTCCCAACGGAACAAAGAATGTCGATTGTTACTGGACGATGACGAGACCAGTACGATATTTGACAAAGCGGTCTAACTACAATTCGAAGCAGCAAAGCAGCACACCACCCAACTTTTGTTCCGTTGGGACTGTAGCTTTTGCTCGTTTTCGTTGCGCTTGCCTTCCCCTCTTTGGTCTTTCCATAACCTTGAACCTTCCAAGTTGGAAGGCTGTCGGTTAGCGCTACGGAGATGTGTTAAAGTTAGGTGTCAGGACGTCGAATGTCTCAGTACTCTGTCAGTTTTGTGCCTAGTTATTGCACTTTCTGACTGTATATAGTATCATGTTACAGTGATGGAGAGTTACTCTAAACTCGTATCCATATGTCCTTTTCTCTTTTACAAATAAACATTTGTTAAATAATTTTAAGAACCGTCCCATCGTGTTACTTGTCGAGCACGCCATATGCTGACGCAATAGGCTGCACGACACGAGAATTAGAGAAGTATGCCGTCACCATCAGGCCCTGGTTTGCCCGAGCTGCACCTACTTGACATGAGGTATTGCTCTACGAGATTGTGCAGAGTTACCATGGGGACGGGATTTGTGCAGATTCACCATGGTTGCCGAGGCCACACAGTGTGCGGGTAGCACACCTGAGATTCACAAGCCACGCGTGTTCCAATACTGGGCAATACCATAAAAGGATCTTCGTCTGCACATCATGCAGTCATTCGTGTAATGTTACGATAAGGCCATTGGCTACCATGCTATCCTCTCCTGGTACCATGTACTGGGAGCCTGAACTACAACCGTTTGATCATTTTACAATGTGACAATGTGACCTATGAAGTATGATCTTCCATTTCGAATTTTCAATGCACACTGCCAGGGTACACTATGGATGTGTGTGTGTGTGTGTGTGTGTGTGTACGTGTGTGTGTGTGTACGTGTGTGTGTGTACGTGTGTGTGTGTGTACGTGTGTGTGTACGTGTGTGTGTACGTGTGTGTGTGTGTGTGTCTGTGTGTGTGTGTACGTGTGTGTGTGTATGTGTGTATGTGTGTGTGTGTGTGTGTATGTGTGTGTGTACGTGTGTACGTGTGTGTGTACGTACGTGTGTGTGTGTGTGTATGTGTGCGCGCGTGTGTGTGTGTACGTGTGTGTATGTGTATGTGTATGTGTGTGTGTGTACGTGTGTGTGTATGTGTGTGTATGTGTGTGTGCGCGCGTGTGTGTGTGTGTGCGTGTGCGTGTGTGCTTGCACGAGTGCGTGTGTGCATGTATGCGTGTGTGTAAGTGTACATGTATGCGTCGAGGCTTGTTTTATCCAAAGCCCCACATTAAGTGCATAATAGCAAGAAGATAGAAGAGAAGAGCTAGAGAGAAAAGTGAAACAGCCACAAGACGAGAGCCTGGGCACTGCTCCAGCTGGTACACATGGAAGCCAAGACTCAGCTTCCACTGTAACTGTCAAAACGCGACCTGAGCATGAGGATAGACGAAGCAACCACGTAGAACTTGACCTGACTCTGTCTCCTGAGAGCAGCTGGGCCGAGGAGTCGGACTGTCCACCTGAGGGAAAGCTCTCTGCGGGCGTTGAGGCTAGAGCATTGGTCATACTGGAAGACTGCTTCCACAAGAGGTCGCGGGAGTCGACCTCCCCATTGGCAGTTTCTAGTGATATCCAGAGGAAGAAGAAGGCGAAAAAGATCACTGCGTCCGAGGCAAGCAACAAGCAGAAAATTTGGGGCAGATAGGGTTCCTCCGTCGACAGGGAAGGACAATGAGCTTAACCCAAGCTGACCCTGGATAAGATGACGCAAGCCGAAGTGACTCTTCCTGGGTACTCCCCTCCAGTAAGACGAGACCGAACACCACAGGGTGGAGGCGTGGCTGTGTGAGTGAAATCCCACCTAGCTTTTCAAGAACTGGAAGCTGTTCCAACCCTTGACCAAGAAGTTGTATGGCTTTCTATCCGCATAAGACCTGGCCGCAAAGTTGTCTTGTGTGCTGCCTACCGCCCAGGGTCTCTTCCTGGCAACGATATCAGTATGGTAGATTACTTGGACCAGACCATTGACGTTGCCCGGGTGGATGCACAGCACCTCATCATCGCTGGCTATTTCAATGCGCACAACACTGCCTGGCTGGGCAGCAGTAGAACAACTCCAGCTGGGGAGAAACTGGAGGACCTCTGCGCACTACATCACCTCCAGCAGCATGTGACGGAGCCTACTCGTGGAAATGCCCTCCTCGACCTCATCATGAGTGACCTGGGCAACCCGACGGTCCGGCTCGGCTCCCCAATTGGTAGATCTGACCACGCCACCATCTTGGCGGAATTCAAGACAGAACTATGTCGAGAGCCCAAGACGGCCAGAACAGACTGGCAATATGGCCGCGCTGACTGGGACAGACTAAACAACCACCTTAGGAGTGTGGACTGGGATGCCCTCATGTCTGAGGATGCAAACAGCAGCTGCACCAATATTTCCTCTGCCATCATAGATGGAATGAACCAGTTTATCCCATCCCAACTTCTCTGTACTCGGCCCTCTGATCCCGCTTGGTGGACGCCAGCTTGCAGCAAGGCCGTGAAGGCGAAACAGAGTGCCTGGAAGTTCCTCAAGAGACGACCAGACTCGCCCCAATGTCAAGCTAACTATACTCTCGCTGTCCACCGGTCTTCTGATTGCCTACGTGATGCCCAGAATCACCATCTAGCAATAGTCCGTGCACGACTCCAGACCGGCAGCCTTCGAGATAAACAGTGGTGGTCAACCATCAAGCAGTCCATCGGAACCTCCCGAAATAGCTCCATCCCGATTCTTGTCGACCCTGCTGGCAAAGAGCATGCCACGAACATCGAGAAAGCAAACTGCCTCGGTCACTACTTCGCGGAGAAATGTAGCCTTGGTGCCAATGACCTGCCAGACACACCTCTGCCCCCTATTCGCCAACGCACAGGCAATAGGCTGAAGACCGTACACTTCCGCCCTGTCACAGTCCAGCGAGCTCTCAAGAACCTGGACGCTTCAAAAGCAACTGGCCCTGACGGCATTCCGGCGCAAGTGCTCAGGAAGTCAGCGCAGTCACTCGCCAGCCCTCTGGCAAAGCTATTCACCCAGTGCTTCCGGGACGGGGTGCAACCTGCATCCTGGAAGATCGCGAACGTTGTCCCTATTTTCAAGAAAGGCTCCAAGTCTACCCCGAAGAACAACGTCCGATTTCCCTCCTCTCTATACTCTCTAAGGTGATGGAGGCCATCATCAATCGCAGCATCACTTACTTCCTGGAAAGCAATCAGGTCCTCTCCGGACGGCAATTCGGGTTCCGACGCGGCCTGGGCACGACTGATCTTCTCCTCTCACTTCAGCATGAGTGGAGTCGGACGTCCAATGCTGGGGGTGTGACCCGAGTCCTTGCTGTCGACGTGGCCGGCGCATTTGACAAAGTGTCGCACCGCGGTGTAGTTCACAAGGCCAGATGCCTTGGGCTGACTGGCCACCTGCTCTCATGGTTGAAAAACTACCTAGAGAGCCGCCAGATCCGGGCCGTCGTTTGTGGACAAACATCAGCCACACACGCCATCCGAGCAGGTGTGCCTCAAGGAAGCATCCTGGGGCCCACTCTCTTCTTGATCTACATTAATGACGCTGAGGACCACCTTCCCCAATCGACCAGCCTTGCCACGTACGCAGACGACACGACGCTCTACAAGTGTATCCGGTATCTCGGCAACCTCGCAGCTGACTGTGATGATCTCCAGACCGCCGTCAATGCCCTTGCTACCTGGGGTGCGACCTGGCGAGTGACATTCGAGCCCGCCAAGTCATACCTACGCCACGTCAGCCACCACCGTCGGCCCTGGGACTGCCCTCCGGTCACATTCCAAGGTGAAATCGTTCCTGAAACCCAGTGCCTGAAGCTACTTGGGATAGCCTTCGACAGTCAACTGACATTCTGCCAGCAGATTCGACAGTCAGCCCTGCGCGCCACACAGCGACTGGGCTTCCTGAAGAAGGCCTCAGCAGTGCTTGACCCTGGCTGCCGTCTCACGGTCTACAACGGCTTTGTTCGCCCAGTCTTAGAGCATGGCATGCTAGTCTGGATGGGTGCTTCTCAGACGGTGCTGGCCCAACTCGATGCTGTACAGCGGAGAGCCCTGCATCTGATCGGCGAAGGCGCATATCTGCCAAGCCTTGAACTCCGGCGCAAAGTGGCTGCTCTCTGCTATCTCTACAAAATCCACTACCTGACAGGCCCACAGATGCTAACCCGAATGCTGCCCCCCTCCCAAGCAGTACCAGACCACGACCAACATCCTGCCAACACCAGGCAGCAGGCGCGGGTGGAGGCCGGCCACCGCTACCAGCTGCAGTCTGATATCCCAGCCAATTCTCGCAACAACGTCCGCCGGTCGTTCCCTGAAGGAGTGCTGGACACCTGGAACCAGTTGCCTCGCCAACACCTCCTGGATCAGCCCGACCAGAAGAGGTTGCAGTCCTTCAAGTGCAGCGTCCACCGATTCCTGCGCTCGAGCCACTGGTACTGGGCGACCGACCGGCTGTAGGGACTCGGCGTGGTGGTTTTCTGGACGTTACTGTGAGAGAGTGAGTCTGTGCACAAATATTATGTATGATTACGCATCTGCGTGAATGTGCACGTGTGTGTCTGTGTGTACGTGTGTGTGTGTGTGTGTGTGTGTGTGTGTGTGTGTTTGTGGTGTGTGTGTGTGGTGTGTGTACCGTATTTTTCCGGTTGTAAGTCGACCTTCTACGACTAAAAATAGAAGGAGAAAGGGTGGGGGTCGACGTACAACCGGAATTCGACTTATAACCGGGAACTATCAGAATCTTACAAAAAATGACCTGCCCTGCATGCATGAGTGCACCATGTGTACACATGTTTGCCAGTTTATTGGCCTTTTTCAAGGATTGGGACTTTATACCCTCCAACAAGGAATGTTTACATGATTTGTTGATGTGTTAGTAGCAGGGCGTGGTTGGTAGTGCTTCGTTGGGTGAAAACTTTAAAACGCAGAATTGAGACCTCCGGATACGGGGGTCGACCTATAACCGGGGTCGACTTACAACCGGTAAAATACGGTATGTGTGTGCGTGTGTGTGTGTGTGTGGTGTGTGTATGTGTGTATGTGTGTGTGCGTGCGTGTGTGCGTGCGTGCGAGCATGTGTGTGTGTGTGCGCGCGCGCGTGTGTGTGTGTGGGTGGGTGCACATGATTGGTATGTGGTGTTTATGTGAGCGTATGATAATCAGGGAGTCGTAAAATACCGGGAGGCGACACGCCACACATTTCACGATCCGAGGATTGCCGCACTCGACCCGCGAAATTTGAAGCGTGATTGAAACGTCGTCGTCATCTTCTTTTTCTCAATTGTTTTTGCTATATGCTTCGAGGCTATTCTGGATCTCCAGAGCGAAAGCTGGTTGTTTCTGATACGTACCACGCATTACCTTAGGTTGAGCCGTGGCTTTTAATTTTTTTTGGAAGTTCACTGCTTTGGAGACGACGGAATGTCAAGGTAAGTTATTCACGAAATGTACTCAAATTTGAATTGAGTCAATGCGAATGACACCCTGTTTTCGGAATAGTTCTCCACTAAACACACCATGCCCATGGCCCCTTCATGTTGTCCAAGTTCCATTCTAGGTTTGTGTGAAGTTTCGAGATGAAGTTCGACGATGTACTCACCTTTCCATGGAAGGGAAAAAAAAGTAGCATATCAAACAGAATCCATGCAGTATTTGATGCCACTATCCTCATTCTTCTGCATTCAAAGTGTTTCACATCTATATGGCCCATGAACTGCAAACAATATTTGTCATTTCTTAACTGTTCATAGCTGTTCATAACTGTTCTGAACACATTGCCTTCAGGAAACGTAAGGCCGAGTCGCCTCACCGACTGAGCAAAGTTCTCTGCGACGAAAGTCACACTATCGGCGAATGCACTCAAGGTGAATACCTGTCAATATCCTGTATACTGCTTGTACCGCTTATCACAGTAGCATACACACAAGCACACATACATACACACACACACACACACACACACACACACACACACATGCATGCTCGTGCACACACAAGCGCAAAATTCACATATCACTGGTTCAGTTGTTTTTATCTGTGTCGTATTTTGTCTTATACAGAGCTTCCGAGCCACGCCGAGTCACCTGACCAACTGAAGAAGGTTCTGTGCGACGAAAGTCACACTATCGGCGAATGCACTCAAGGTGAATACCCTGTGGACTGCTTATACCACTTATCACAGAAGCACACACACACACACACACACACACACACACACACACACACACACACACACAAGCGCAAAATTCACATATCACTGGTTCAGTTGTTTTTATCTGTGACGTATGGTGTCTTATACAGAGCTTCCGAGCCACGCCGGGCCACCTGAATTCTCCAAACAAGGCTGAAGGCTTGTCACGGCATCCTTGCCAAATAAAGGTATAAGCTGCAGCAAGTTGTCGTTGCAACACCTTGCTCCTTCCAGCTCACGCCGCACGGCCACCAAGCACCAACCACCATGGTACTTTTCAGCAAGGTGAGACAAATTGTCAATCACCGGTTCGGGGATGGCTTCAGCAGCTTTGGATGGTGCTATTGACGCTTTCCTGATAGCAGCGGCAGCCGTGGCATGCAGGTAGCTTATCAGATTCGCTAGCACTGCAGATGTAACTTCCAAATCTGAAGAAGAGAAAAGAAAAAGACAACATATAAGGACTGGTGGTTGCAGAGACTGTACTAGTATTCAAAAGCCAGCGTTTGCATACCTAGTCTGCATACCTAGTCAGAAGCCAATTTTTTCCAACATGCATGCAAAACGCACTGACCTTCACAATTGATTTTCACTTCGGGAATAGCTGTTGCGATGACGGACAGCATTTGTTGCCATGCTTGCGAAATATCAGCACCCTTGCATGCCTTCAGCTGGCACACTTCCTGGCGTAGCAGATTTGCAGTACCTGATGCCTTGTGTAACCGTGTCATAATAACATGCAGGAATGACTCCGTCGCCTCAGTAACACTCGCCTGTCTCATTGTCAGCAGTTTGCAAATTCCATGGATCACTGCACCTTCCATAGGCCTGTACAAGGATGGTGTCGACCACCTAATTTATCGGGTCAGTTCGGGCACTTAGGTATGCTACAGATTATACATTCGTGTCCACAAGGAAGAGACAAAAACATGCAAACGAAAGAATCTCACCTGTAGCCCACAGCTGAACATCCCCACAACTCAGGTCACCAAGTGAATACGTGGCGTCATCTACATCTTCCACGGTGGACTCATCACTTTGGCAGTCATCTCTGTCAAGCTCCATCATCCTTTACTTCGAAGGCCAAGGCACAAAGTATTATTACTTAGAAAAACAAAACGAACTGCTGACACTGGATTCGTTGTGTGCAGGATAATTTTATTGAGTTTTCAAATTTTTTGGACCAAACAGCGAACGCGTCCTTTTGCATGACCTGCGCCGCTTTGACCTCATGGGAAGTCCCTCGCCATGCAGCGCGTGAGGTCTCAGCACTCGTGCCCGAGCTGAGGCAATCATCCGACGCGGTTGTGCATCTCGTGTCGCCTCCCGGTATTTTACGACTCCCTGATGATAATAATCTCTTCAATAAAATTAATATCTTTATTTCAAGATTACCCAACGCCGGCGAACGCCCTATCAGGTTGATCTCCTATTTGAACATGCGCATATGTGTGTGTGTATGATGTGCCCTAGCTCACTTTTAATTATTATATTATTATTATTATGTTATACACGTAGATCATGTCCATGATGCCTTTCCTCTGCGCAGGTCCACCGCACTATTGTTTTTAAGATAAACATCATTATTACTTCTGCATATGCATTGCATACTATGATCATGCTGGCTTCATCCCTTATCTCCTAAGCTACCCCCCCCCCCCCCCCCGGTGCGTCTGCCCAGTGTTGACTCCGAGACCCACGGTCGGACGAGCTGCCCAGGCCTCACCACCACTGCCGTTTCTGTGCTGCCTTCTCGATACATACGTATGTACACTGTATATCATGTGCACATTGACATGTCTGAAGGTTTGTGGTTTTTCAATAAAAATAAATAAATAAACCCATCCGCTTACCCATTCAGTCCAACAAGAACCAACACCTCAACGCCACGCCCTTCAATCCCAACTTCATTCCCAGCACACCTCCGTCCAAGTGCCAGGAGCTTAGAACCATATTCTTAAATGTAAAATCATCTAGTTCATAAAATTGATGACATTGTTGATATCATTACCTTGCATGACCTAGATAATGTGTTCCTAGCGGAAACCTTCCTGACCCCCGCTATACCAGACTCAGTCCTTAGCATACCTGACTTCACGCTGCACCGCAAGGACAGACCTGGTCATGGTGGAGGTGTTGCTGCGTATGTGTGAAGTACTCTATGCGCAAGCCGAGAAGAGGCCCCCACCAACCATAGCCTTGAGCTCTTGTTTATCAAAGTAAAGGGCTGTCACAAGAGTGTTCGATTTGGAACAGTGTATCGACCTCCCAGTGCCCCTGTTTCCTTCTGGGAAGACCTTGACAAGGCAGTTGAGGACTCACTTGCAACTAGTCTACACGTCCCCATGGTTCTTGTGGGTGGACTCCGCAGCTCCCGCACCTCGAGCACTTCTGCCACAGTCAATGTCTTAGCAACTTGGTTCACGACGTTACTCGCATAGGAACAAACGGATCACACACATCTCTTGATCTGGTTATGGCAGAAGATGGCATCATTACATCATGCACTGTTATTCCAATGGGTATCAGTGATCACTTCCCGGTTCTAACGACTGTTCCTCTCGCAGCAATGGCAGCGGCAGACCGTCCCACTATACGAATCGGCCGCGACTTCAGGAAGTCCAACATGCACGAAGTTTCCCAAGCCCTCGCCACCGCCGGACTTGAGGACTACTCCACAGCAATGACACTTGAGATAATGTGGGAGCAGTGGTTCCAACGGCTCCTCCTCACTCTTAATCGGCTTGCACCTGTACGAACGTGCCACGTCAAGACTAGTCACCGAAATTTCGTCACCATGGAAGACTCCCGCATATTACTCCGCTATCCGCTCTCGGGATCGAGCCCATCGCCGGTGGCGAATAAGTCCATTAGATCAACAGCTCTATTAGGAGTTTTCACTAGCCCGTTCGAGCGCAAGAGCGAGGAGAGCGAAGAGAGCGAGAGAGCGACGAGGAGCGAGAGAG